GTATTTCTCTTATGTAGAGTCGATGCCAAAGAAATGCAAAAAACTGTGCTGCCAGGGACCGCTACTTCAACGAGTAGCTACTTGGCTGAACGCTAGACAACAATTAAACCTAAGGGACCTGTTGGCCCCTGGTGAATGAACCAGCAATGACTGAAGAAATGCTGAGAAATAATAACAATAATAATATTTATTATTATACATGGTACACACATAACATTTTAAGGAGGGTTTGGTTGTGATCAAAAGGGTAACATACCTTTTTTATTTTTACACAATTATCCACAACACTGAATAACCTCCTGAAAAAAAAAACACACACATAGAATGAGGTACATTCTAGATGATAAGCCTGACATCCCATATCTTCAATGAACATATACTAATTATATTATGTACAATATACACCCTAACAGAATGGGGCCTATGCTGTGGCTCAGTGGTTAGAGCAGTTGGCCTCCTGCAAGAGAGTTGGCAGTTCAACTCCACCAGAATGCAGTCACATGTTGAAATGTGTCCAGGCAAGACACCAAACATGCATTGCCTATGATATCTTACACCCATCTCATATAAATCACTGATGAAACTTTATTAAATGATTTATTCTGTTTAGCTTTGTAGTGAGGGCACAACTCTTTGGGTAGCCTGGTTGGGCTAGAAAGGTGCTCAACAGGTACAGTCCACTTAGCTGGAATAGATATACACTGCGTTTGTTGCTGTAATGTTGTTTATAGCTTCAGCAGTATTTTGTCTCTTTATGTTTTCTTTGAGTGCTGCCAGTGACGCTGCGGGAAAATTGTCATATTTTATTAAAAGATACTGATTATTATCATTGTTATTTTACATCAGCAACAATTACCCACTGGCCAGCTCTCAGCCTCCACAGGTAAACAGAGACTGTCCTAAGAGCAAGAAAAATACAGATGGAGAGAATTCAGTGTTTGTTAAGAGCAAACTGTAAAATCTTGGATGTGCTTTTTTAAATAGGCTGAGGTTTTGTCAAAGTTTTATAAAATATTTTTTGAAAATAAAACTGTTATATCCACAGCAATGTGTTCATCTTCTAATTTCTATTTGTTTTGTCTACCTCCTGCAATAGCAAACAGTTCTTTCCCAGACATGAGAAGCAGAGATTTTGATTCATCAAGCACTTTAACAATATTCAGTTTGCTCTGAAAAATATCTGTGAAACTAGAAGAGCTTACATTTCTTCTCTTTTTTGTTTTACATTCAGAATGAGCCATTCCACCTTTCTTTAATTAGTCATTCAATGCACAAGATTTTAAAACGAAAGCTGTGCCTCAGTGTGTGGGCTTATGCAAAGAAACAATGTCAGATTTAGCAAATGTGCAACATTTCACACCAACTTGAAGAACATTAGCATAGCAGTTTAAAAAAAACCTTTGCGGATATAAAATGTATATTTCATTTTTCTCCATTTGCTTACAACAGTGACAGCCAGTCATTTACTGAGGAAAGTATTTAATCAGTAAAAATCGTTGTGAGTTATGACCACTGTTTTGGAGATATAATGAAAACAGTAAACAAGCAGACAGGCGAGGTGACATCATGTGGAGACAATCCAGGAAGTGATGATCATCCAGCTGCAGTTTGTGTACTGAGCTCGCCATGGATACGCACCTCAAGGGTGCGACTGAAGAGCTCGCCATCAAAGCTGTGAGAAGGATATTTTAGATCAGACTGCAAAAAAACCACAATTTGAAACCTGACATGACAACTTGTTCTTTTCCCTCACCCACCCTATATGCTTAATAAAGTGTGATGAGATTTCCAGCTCCCAGGTCTACATCAATACTTCGGTGGCATGTCTACTGCCTCGCACGTAAACAGTGGAAAATAGCGAGAGACACGATCTGAGAATAGCCACAAAGCTCCTGCTGCCACCTTTGTGTGAAAATCTGTCCTCAACACGAAGACAGCCTCAGAGCAGGCAGGGAAAAGTTTAACCCTCAGAGGAAACTTGTAGATGGGGTTGAGAAAGACGCTGCAGGACATTAAAGCTTTATTTGTTTCTCAGCACCAACATGTGGGACTCTAGTTCTCACTTTGCAGCCCAGGTAAGATCTCATAATGGTTAATCAACAAGTTGCCATTTCACTAATGTCGATGATGTTTTTAGTCTTCAGCATGGTGTGGTTCAGCAGCTGTTACTGGATCAGGGTTTCTGTCAAACATCAGAGCAAGGTAAGCTGACAGATTATTGGATGTCGACTGATACATAGGTAACGGGTAGCTTTTGGTCAGATCTGTTCTGATGTTTGGGTTTCCATGTGACTTCAGACAGAGCGACCCAGGTCTGAGGAGGTGGCAGTCGATGTATAACTTAGCCCATGAAAGTCCTGCAAGATGGTCTCCTTTGTCGGGGGCTGAATTAAGAGCTGGTGGAGCTGGACGCAGCTTTTATCAAACAGAAGTGGAACAATGGCTCCAGGATGCTCACGAGCACCTGATCACTGAGCTGGACTGGGTGAGACCCAGAGACACGAGGCTGAGCTACAACACGTCAAGGACACGAATGCCTGACGTGAAGCAAAAGGTAAGAAGTGATAAAGGAAAGTAAACAAATTGGTTTTGTTTTTGTCTTTCTGTTTGCTTTGTGGTTTCCGTGACATAACGTGTGGCACAGCAGGTACTAAAACCAAACTGGGATCTTGATGCAGCAGATTTATCCCCGTTTGACCACAGCCGAGAGCAGAAGGAGCTCCAAGAAAAGTAAGTGCAGCACAACACAAACAAGATGGCCATGGAGAAGTATAAAAATATCAGAGGTTTATCATTCAGAATTCATTTTAGAGTCCAAAAGCTGGAGAGTGACCTCCTGCAGATGAGATTGGACAAACGAAGCAACGATTCACACAGCAGAACACATTCAAACACGCAGGAAAACGAGGTTTGCAAACCTTCCTATTTTATTCCAAATACATGCTTTGCTTTGTAAAGTCCACACTTTAATATTTGTTTGAATTCATGATGAACAGACGGTCGACAAAGAGCTGAGAGAAGCCGAGGCGAGGGCCTCGACCAGGGAAGAAGAGAGAAAGAAAGTGTTGGAAGATCTCCAGGCTTCTGAAGAGGTGAAATCAAAGTCTGTGGAGTTTAAAAAAACCTGGGTTTGCTGCATCTTGTGACACATCAGTCATATTTGTGGGTGCAGAATCAGAGAATGTGGGATCAAATAGAGGAGATGAGCAAGAGGCTTAAGAAGAACTCTGAAGTGCAGGAAGAGCTGAGAGAAGCCAACAATAAGCTCAGCCAAGCGTATCTGGTTAGTATGATTTATTCTGTTACACAGTCTTGCCTGGCTGGATCAGACCCAACATAACAATCACATATAGTGCACCTCAATCATGCCCAGAAAACAAACAGTACTGATGAAAAATGTCTGTTATATCATTGGAAAGGTGAAAAAATGAAAACAGATGTATTATGAATGGGGGAGAGTACAATAAATTTACAATAAATTGAGACAATTTGCTCAGACCTGTATGTGATTTAAATCATATAACACTGAGAACCCTAAATGAAATCAAACTTTATTAATAAAGCACATTTAATGCATAAAATAACCTAGCGTGTTTTCCAATAAGAACAAAAAAAAAAAATGAAAAAAAAATGTAGAAGTGCCAATGTGCACAAATAATTTAAGAAGACAAAAATATTTTATGAAAGGGGAATAATTACTACCAGTTGCTGATTATTCCTTAACAAATAGATTCTTTCTGAAGTTGTTTGACTGTTTTTTAAGTTTTTTAAGTGAGTCAAAGTTTTCCGGAATTCTGTTTTTGACTTTTAAAAGAAATTCAGTGACCAATACTCAGATTTTGTTTTTAAATGACTGGAATAAAGTTTTAGAGTCTGTCACAAACTCTACCTCTGCTGGTGAAAGTTTCATCATTTTTCAGACTGGGTTCATATCTTCTAAAGGAATGAATAAAGTAATTAGTCAAACTTGATCTTATTCAGCTGCAGGTCTTTTTATTCACTCAGCCAAAAGTTACTGTTCTTTCAGATGTTCACAAAATGTTTGGATCATCTGTATTTACATCGTTCTTGCCACTAATTTAGTGATTATATTTGTATATATTTTTGTTTGTATCTTTTGGCTCGGGGTTTTGGATATTTTTATTCATTCCAGGTAGGTCACAGTGGATTGAAATGGCTTCCTTAGATCTCTTTTTCCTAATACATGTTCTTTGTTAACCAGTTTTATTTTATTTTATATTTTGCACTTTCTTTAAACACATTAACAAATTTTGACCCTGGATTAAATATATTTTTCTTTTATTTTTAGCCCAAGTTTACTAAACTATCTAACATGATATACAGTATTTATCAGGTTGGGTCAATTTTTTTTCTGTGCACAGGGCTGCAAAAGCTAAAGTGAAAAATGTTCACATATATGTGTGTGTATATATATA